GGTAGTGGCGAGCGGGGAGCAGATCGCAACGGAGCTTGGGGAGGAAAGGGGAGGCAGAGCTTCTCTGAAACACCTGGGGAGTCAAACACGGGGGGGTTGGAGGAGGGAGGCTTGGGGGCACCGAGGGCTGCAGGGATGCTTGCCAGGCTCAGCCGGGACCGGGGCTCAGCAGTCGTTGGCAGTGAGCGAAACGTCGGCGCCACGGAGGCGTCCCCGTCCCTCTGCTGCCTGCAGCATTGCTGGCCCCCCCCCCCCCGCCTCCTGGGGGAAAACCGGTGGGAAAAGCCATCTCTGAGCCACTTGGGCACCTTGACTGCAGCAAACGGGGGAGGGCACGGGGCACAGCCAGCCTGGGGGGGGTCAGAGCCTCCGGACGGTGTCTCGGGTGGGATCTCTGCAGGGTGTCCCATGCACAAAACCCAAGGACCCCCCCGGGCTGAAGCTGTGTAGCGTTTAAAAACAAGTGAGTTTGGCTTAAAGTCCAAGAAGGGGTGGAAGTGCTGAAGAGAGATGGTGAACGAGGCACACAGGACCTGGACCCCGGGGGCGAGGGGTCCGGCAGGGTGCAACTGCTCCGTGCTGCCCACCCCCGCGGCACCGCGCTCCGGCTGGGGGACAGGCGAGGCGGGGGAAGCCCACTGCTGTGTGCGGATGCTCGGGATGCCGTTCCCCAGAGCCGGTCCCAAGGTGTGAGCGGACGGAGCAGGGTGGGCATGGCCTCTGGTGCGGGTCAGCTGGGGCATCCCGCAGCCCCTCCCGCGCTCACCTCCAGCTCCGCAATGATGCGGTCCTCGTCGTCGTCGTCTTTGATGGCAGAGGCGATGATGGGAGGGGTGGATGCCGGCCTGACCACCTCCGACACTGTCCGTCTCAGCTTCACCTGGGGCTTCTGGGTCTCCAGCTCCTCCGACTCGGCCTTCTGCAAGGGGGGAGCAGGGTGGTGAGCGGGGGGGGACACGGGGAGCTGGGGCTGGCGTTGCCAACTGCGACCCCACTCGGTCCAGCCCAGCAGCCACCCCACGGCCCCGCTCCCCACCTTCATAAACCCAGGCTCCTTCTTGCTGGTCACGATGACTTCGCCGCTGCGGGTGGTGGTCAGCCCGTGAGACGAGGGGAAGCTCCGGCGCGGAGGAGGTGGCGGCGGCGATTTGGAAGGTTTCTCGGTCCGGTACCGCGGCACCGTCAGTTCGTCTGGGCACAAACGATGCTGTGAGGGCACGAGACCTTTCCCTGCCCCTCTAATACAACACCCGAGGCTCGCCCGCTGCCTCCCCGGGCATAAGCCTCCCTCCAGCATCACGCAGCCCGGGGA